TTTTAAAAAGTTTGTAAGAAGCACCCTTGTTCATCATAACTTTGAACTTTATTTATCTGCTCAACACTAAGGAGCAGACAGGATTATTTAACAGAATATGTGCATTTTCACTATATTATCAATAGAGCCCATCCTTAGACCAAAACATCTGATCCAGGTGTCATGAAACTCACAATTCTGGAAGAAATACTCTTGTTCATCATAACTATACACATATTGTTTCTTTGCTTTTTAACCAGGAGCAGAAAAGAATATTTTCAAAGAAATTATGCTTTTTCACTATATAATCAATAGAGCACCCCTCCTTTCACCAGAACCCCCAATCCTGGGACCATGAATTTATAATTTTGGAAGAGGCATCCTTGATTATCATAATCTTGCAATTACTTTTTTAAATAACAACTAGGAGCATAAGAGATTTTCAAGAAAATAACACATTTTCATTTGTAATCAAAAGAACCCCGCCCTAACACAACAACCCCTGAAAAAGTGGCATGAAATTTACAATTTTGGAAGAGGCACCCTTCCTCATCATAACTATGTACTTACTTTATCGGCTTAATACTCAGGAGCAGAGGAGAAGATTTTCAAAGAATTAATGTATTTTCACTATATAATTATTAGAGCCCGCCCTACCACTAGAATCCCTGACCTAGGGGCCATTAAACTCATATTTTTAGAAGAAGCACTCTTGGTCATCATAAGTATACACTTATAACTTCTTGGCTTAGTACCCAAGAGCAGAAAGAATATATTCAAAGAATTTTAGCTTCTTCACTATATCATCAATAGAATCCCCCACCCCTCCTTTCACCAGAACCCCAAATCCTGGGGCCATGAATTTCAAAATTTTGGAAGAGGCATCCTTGCTTATCATAACCATGCAATTACTTTGTTTAAATGATACTTAGGAGCAGAGAAGAAGATTTTCAAAGAATTAATGCAATTTCACTATATAATCAATACAGCCTTGCCCTAACACCAGAACCCCTGAACCAGGGCCATAAAATTCACAATTTTGGAGGAGGCACTCTTCCTCATCATAACTATATACTTAGCTCATCCGTTTAATACCCAGGAGCAGATGTGAAGATTTTTAAAGAATTAATGCATTTTCACTATATAATCATTAGAGCCCCGCCCTATCACAGAACCCCTGACCCAGGGGCACTGAAATTCACGATTTTGGACGAAGCACATTTCTTTATCATAACTATGTACTCATTTCATCGGCTTAATACTCAGGAGCAGAGGAGAAGATTTTCAAAGAATTAATGCATTTCACTATATAATCATTAGAGCCCCGCCCTAACACAAGAACCCCTGACACATGGGCCATGGAATTCACAATTTTAGAAGAGGCACCCTTCCTCATCATAACTATGCATTTTGTTTGTTTTCTTTATACCCAGGAGCAGAGGAGAGGATTTTTAAAGAAATAATGCATTTTCACTATATATTCAACAGAGCCCCGCCAGAGGGCCAGAACCCCTTACCCCTGGGGCCATGAATTTCACAATTTTTGTAGAGGGCTCAATTCTTATTACAATCATGCCAACAGTTTTACTGCTTGATGGCAGAAAGATTTATGCTAAATTTCACTACAGAATATTCCGTCTATCTAATCAATACACAGGGCTAACAGCGGGTGTGGCCGGTCGACATCCTCTTAGGCACCCGATCCCATCTCTGGAATTTCCAGGGGTCCGTGTTTTATGTCCTGCTCACAGATTTGTATTGTTTGTAGATTTTTTAAGATCGATCACTTTTCGTTACCTTCACCTTTTTCATTTAGAATCGTAGAAATTAGTGCTGTCAACGAGTACTCGGTTAACCGTCCAACGATGCCAATATCGATTAGTAAAACTGCTATTCGGTTACTTGGATAAAAATACATTTTACATAGTAAGTACGTAGAAAATGAATATTATATTGTTTATAAATGTATACTAACACATTTCCCTAATTTTTTTTACCGTTAGACTTGATGTACTGGTTCACAAATAGGATTGATTTGTTTTGATTAGTTTTCACAGTTTATATAATTGATTGCCAGGGGGTATACAAGTTTTGAAGACCTGAGTTTAAATTACCTCATTTAGACACGTGATAGGCTGAGGAACATAATTTAACAAGATGCCGCCGCAGACATATAATGTTTGGAAGTATTTTTAAACAGCTGTTAAAAGAACAGCTGATTTGAAATCAGTAAAATGTAAATTATATGATTTGGAGTTATTGTGTACGGGTGGGACTACAAGTCTGTTAATTCATCTAAGATTGAAATTTTTTTTGGAAACCAGCGATTTACTGGACTCTCCACAAATCAAACGAGTAATTACGAGGTATGTTAATTAATTCTCCTTGATTTGTGACATATATCGGGGGCTGAAAAGGAAAACATAACGAAACTATTGTAAAATTGATGATTGACGACTATATTCGTTTTCTTGCATTTGGTGTGTCTATAAAATTATTTTCTTTAACAAAAACAGACATCTGAATCAAAATTCTTTGAAGATATCGTGGGAGTGTTTGAGATTGTAACTGTAAATAAAGTTCATATGCAGTACATTAATTTGTGTTTCATTTCTACCGATAGATAATGGATGAGATAAATAATAGATATGGAAACTGTAACGAAAAGTTATCCAAGTAACCGGGTACTCGATCGGAAAAGGAAGCGAGTAACCGGTTACTAAAAATCGTCCGATTTGACAACACTAGTAAAAATCAAGGTAGAGCATACTGACTATATATCGTAAAAAAGAAAAGAAGAAAATTTTCAGTATTTAGTATCACTAGTACCTCTTCTTAAAATGCAGGCTATTGATGGGACAGAGATGAAAGTATAGAGGACTTCCATTGACAAGTGATATGGCAATTCTTCAGTGACGGTCCAATGAAAGGTCATGTATTGTCCTTGATAGAGGTATGGATCTTGCTCTCTCATACAGTTGTTGGTGGGATATCTTTTCAGGTCAGTGTATTTTTAGGATCCTCCCATGACATCTCCGATGGAGAGTGTCCAGCTTTTCATCGTATTCCCTGCTAACTGATGATTCTGTTGAATAAATCTGTTAATTCTGATGTTGTATATGATATGCTCTCCTTTAGTAGTTCTGCATTGATGTTATCTATGCCGGGACTCTTTCCATTCTTCATGTTTTGGATTGTCTTTTTAACCTCCTCCTCTCTTATTGGTGTTGTGTCAATTTCCGCAATTATGTTCTCTTGGATGATGCTTCCCTCAGGTAATCGGTTGCTTCTGTTGGAACATTGAGGACCTCTTTAAAATGCTCATTCCATCTTTCCAATATTTTTCTGTACTCAGTGATTTGCTCACCATTTTTGGATCTTGTGTTATTTGTTATGTTTCTTTTCTTTCCCATAAAGCTGCTTGGTCACTTGGTAAACTTCACTCAGGCGGTTTAAGTTTGATGCGTTCTCTGCTTGATTTGCTATACCCTCCAGATTTTTCCTTTTATCAGCTCTTGCTCTTCTTTTAACATCTTTGTCATTTGTCCTATATTCTTCTCTCCTAATTTCCCTTATTCTCTCCGATTTGATCTACCTACTTCTTTTAGTTTTCTTCTTTCATCTATGCCGTTGTATGTTTCTGCAGTAAGGCAGTCTTTATGTTTTCTTATCTTCTGGTGCAAGATCTTTTCTGCTGTTTCATTATACATGTATACCTCTTTCATAGGGGTCCATTTTTCGTTGACTGTGTTTTCCTACTCAGATAGTTGCTGAAACCTATTTCTTATTTCAAGCTGGAATCCTTTGGATATTCTCGGATCTTTCAGCTTGCTGACATCATACATATTCCTGTTGCATTTTTTTGGCTTTGAGTTTTTGCATAGCTTCACCTTTACTTCAGTCAATACTAGATGGTGATCTGAATTGGCATCTGCACCACGCATAACCCTTATATCGCATACAGACTTCCTGTATCTGCCATTCACCATTACATGGTCAGTTTGGTTCCTATCTCTTCGATTTGGAGATTCCCATGTAAGCTTGTGTATGTCAAGGTGCTTAAAGAGGGTTCCTCAGATGACTAAGTTATCTAGAGCGCGCATTTCAGGTAACCTCATGCCGTTTTCATTCATAGTTCCAGTGTCCCCTTGTCCCATGTCTTTTTCTATCATGTTGTAAATTTTGAATTTACCGGCTGGCAGTAAATACAAAATTTACAAGTTGTCTTGTCATGTCGTAAATTTTGTACTTACTGCCACCCGGTAAATTCAAAATTTACATGACATTTCCCTCACTTGACTTCCCAACTTGTGCATTCGCATCGCCCATTACAACCAGTATATCATGCTTTGGCATTTTCGCAATATTTCTCTGTAACTGTTCGTAGAAGATGTCCTTATCTGCTTGGTTTGTTGGACTGTATATTTGTATTACTGTTAGCTTAGCAAAGCGGGAGAAAAAGCGTGCGCTGATGATTCTGTCGTTAACAGGGTTCCATTCCATCAAGCTTTGTCGAATTTTTCTGCTAAGTATAAGTCTTACTCCTCTATGATGTTAATCAGCTCTCGAGTACAAGATGGTCTCTCCAGAGGTTGTCTTTAATTCACCGGAGCCTGTATATCTTACTTCGCTCAGTCCCCATTATGTCCAACTTGTATCACGTCAGTTGTGAACTTGTGAAGTGATTTTAAAACAAAGTGAAATGTAGATGATGGGCGCCCTGTTTGACATAAATGTATTCCAATATAAAACTTTTATCTCAGATTTCTTAATTATAGTATCTCCCCTTGAAAAAGCATCTTCGCTAGCCAAGGGTTTCCAATCCAAAATCTACTCTCGGAAACCCTTGGCTAGCTAAGATGCTTGAAAGAGGGTGTGACCCTTCATAGATACAAATCTGAATGTCCTTTACCCAACGATGTTATGTGGTTTTGGAATCTATTCTGTTGTGTGTAACAAGAAGGATTAATACGGATAACAGATGGTACTCTAATTTATTTGAAATACTACAAATTTGGGTCTGAAAATCCAGTACATTCTGCTTTTTAGTGTATTAAAATATCACATTAACCTTGTAGAGAAGGTTTCGGTAAAAGCGCTGCCATCTGAGAAAAACAAAAAAATAATTATTAAAAAAAATTACAAAATGAATAAATTCATATCATTTTTTATATTCATCTGGAATAATTTCGTGCATTACCTTAACAACTTCCAAAATGATAAGATGATGGTCATCTACAAAAGAGGAATAGATTACATGGAGCGGTTGCATATGCGTTGTTAAGATTGAAATTCCATTTATTGTCATAAAAATATAGCGCAATCTCAGGGGAGAGAGAGAGATGACATCCTGTCATGAACTACCTCCGTTTGATGGCGCGGAGTTTTATTTGGTGGTTCACAATTTTTCCAATGTTTTAATACCGTAGAGATTTTAATTTTAAAAAAAATCTCATTTTACTATACAATGGAAAATTATTGACAGTTCGACATGTACCTACTTGCGTTATGGTGCCTCAAATTCAGGATGACTTACGATTTATATCAAGCAAGGTAAATCTTGAGTTCAGATCATGTGACGCTGTGATGCGTCCATCGCTGTCTGTGTCCAAAGCGGCGAAAAAAGTGTCAGATTCTTTCGTGGTACCAAAGCCGGAAGAGACCCAGCCGTGTTCGAATTCAGTTCTGGTGACGCTATGATCGCCTGTGGAAAAATGCTTCAAAATTGAAGTGGAACCAATGTGTTTTCAGTCAGTATAATTTCTGGAAGTACTTTGTGATTAGTTTCTTTATTACCACGGGAAAAGTTGTTCGATGGTAAATATATTTGATAATTTACTGCATGTTAATCCGGTTAATTAAGTGCAACTACTAGATTAATTTCATTTCTTTCTTATTCTTCATTAAAAAATTAAAAATCATACACAAGAACAAAATAGAAAAACAAAATAGAGAAAAAACTTTCACCATTTGTGTCAAAAGAGGAGAAGTAGAGTGAAAATTCGTGTTTTGTGAGTATGTTGTCCTTATTGACATCAGACCTCTCGAACAGTACGGCAAGTGGAGCTTCCAAAATTATCTATAGAAAATAAAAATAGTAAATTATTATATTGTTGACGGGACAGAAAAAGATTAAAATAAAAAAAGTATTACATGTATATTTAAATTCATTTCTACTTTTATAATTTTTATCTATGAAAAAAGGCCAACAAAGTTCTCAAAACTTTAAATTCTGATAACCCTATATACTCATAATTAACAAAGATAAGTAAATAAATAATATTTTTAACCCCGATCCATTTCTGTGCAAATTCGTTGGCTGTTACTTGACCGTCACCTGATAATATAAGTAAATGTATTGGTCAATAACAATAAAAACAAATAATTGGACATTTCATGACATTTTTTTTATTAGCGTACGCTCTTTGACATGGAATAAAAGATTGCGGAATAAAAAATGTTCCTGGAGTGTATTACTTCGCCAGAACTTTTCAAACTGCACTAGATTTTTTTCTGAGATAATTGAAATAGATTCATACTTATTGTTTGGCCATTTTCACAAAGAATTGTCTACGGATTTTTCCGTTTCCCCACTCATGACAAGGAGCACACGTCAGGTGTGACCGGTCGACAGGGGATGCTTAATCCTCCATGGCACCTGATCCCACTTCTGCTCTGCTCCCGATTTGTATTGTTACAATGGACTTTCGAGCTTGATTATTTTTCGTAATCTCCATATTTCATTCTTCAAAAGTAGGATTCAAATTTTAGTGGTTGCAACTTTTGCATTTCTTTTGCAATCGCAGAATATTAAGCAAACTTCTACGAAAATTGGACAGAAATTGCATGTTAAATAGCATTTACAAAGTACAGTTAGAATGTCTTTGAAAACTTATATAGTGGAGATTGGATATAAATAATTAAAGAAACTAAAAAAAGAAAATAAAGAAAATAAAAAGGAGGTGACAAGGAAAATTCCCATTTGTTGGGGTGCACTATACTTTTTTCTCTATGAATTTCGGAAAGATCGACTACTCCTATATAGGTGTTCAGAGTCATTTTCCATGGTTTATTAAATTTCTAACAAAAATCTAGTGACACTGAAAACCTGATGCAAGTGTAAAAAAAAAACAAAAAACAACAACAACAACAACAAAACAACAAACAAACAAACAAACAAACAAAAAAAAGAAAGAAAAAGAAAAACGGGCCGCCAATAAACACATTAAAATCTAACCCCCCAACCCCCCCTCCTTGATTGTTTCTAAAAATTTTAAGAAAAAAGACCATGGAAGATTTAATCACACTGCTGTAAAATATAGGGGATAAATAGGACTTGCCGTCTGTGTCGAAGACGTTGTACATGGGGTTCAAGTCTCTTGCATCAATAATGTTGTCGTCATTGAGATCAGCTAGGTAGAAGAAAGCTTCTGCGTGCTCCTGATTCTGGTGCGTGATCGATTGCCATAGTGACACAAACTCCGTTTTGGTCACCTGGCCATCGCCTTCGAAACATATTCAAAGCTCTACATAGTGTTTTAATAATTAGAAACATAAAGTTAGATGGTTTTCAACGACCTATATTGAAATGATTTCTGGCAGTTAGAATTAATAGAATATGAAAAGCTCCAGCCAAATTTTAAAAAGTTTTACAAGCATGGAAAAGATTTTTTCACAGAATGTTTACTATATGATTATTGTTAATGGTATCTTGGAATTTGTTTAGATTGTGGGTATGTATTACCATCTGTATCGAAACCATGATAGACGTCCTCTAGTTCTGGTTCTGAGATCATTCCATTCATGTCCTTGTCGGCCTTCAGGTACAGGACATTAATGATACCGTACATGTCCAGCTTTGGGTCAACGTCACTGGAGGAGTTGGGGATATTAATGTAGGAAGAAAGGGAGAAGCACAGATAAAAGCAGGCGGAACAAGCATTGACAAGTCGTACAGTATATAAAAAGCAAGCAAAGTAAGCATCGATACGTCATTGTAAAGCATATAAAGCATGGTGTATGAATTAATTTTAAGGCATTAATAACAACCCCTTTTTATATATATTTAAAATGATGGAAAAATATATTTTTTTATAATTCTGAGATCCATTCAAAACGCTCATTTTTGTATGATAGTGTCTTATGAAGAAAGTTGACATTCGAGCGAACACACCGTTGGTCTCAATTGTTCATTAGTTTTTGATATTTGTTATAATTATGTATTGGCAACTTAAAATCTCATTGAATTTCTATATCATCTAGTTTCTCTAAATACAAGGGGGAAAGGAAATGATATTTACCCTTGTCCATGACTTCTGACGAAAAGAACAGCCAATGTCAAGAATCGGAGCTAAGATTATAAAAAAAAAAATGCGTCAACACAAAAAAAGAGATTTTTATATTTAAAAATGCTAAAGATATTGTACTTACCATTCTGAAAAATTTCTGCAACAGACGATGGCCAATCGCAAGGTACCGGCAGAGGCCAATCGCAAGGTACCGGCAGAAGTGTCAGAAATCGAAACAGTCTATAGATTACGTTGTAAAAGGCCAACGAAAGTTAAGTTTACGTTCCTACTAATTCATCCATAAAGCTAGCTTCACGTATTTTGTAAACAACTTTTCAGACAGATACATTTCTTTGACCTGTCACAAAATACGTTTTGAAGTTTTATGTATATTATTTATTTGGACATTCGGAAAGTTTTTCGAATTCCTATTAAAAATTCATTCGTAACGTCCAACGATATCCTCTATATCACCACAGGCGCCCTGAATTGTAATCCGTAAGTATAGCAGAGGCCTAAGAATGAGAAGAACTGCGTGTACCCAATCTCAATATAAATGTGTATTTACTAGTATATACAGGGCTAGGATTTTTCGTTCTAGGGCTTTATTTGCTACTAACATGTGTATTTGGTATTTGCTACTACACATGAAGAAATCGAGATACAAGCCACTTTTTTTAATTTTTGCGTTTTTACAATATAAACTTTTTTGTCCGACGGGCCACAAAAAATCCAAATTGCATTATATCGCAGCAGGACAGAACAAGAACCAAATTTTTGCTTGTTTCGGCCTTTTCCTTTTTAAATTATCTTTCACCTCATGTCTGTGATGTAATGTCGGCAGGTGAGATTATTTCTGATAGCGTTGGAGAAATGGAATGATTAAAGACCAGTATCTCCATTGATATCGTGCATTATTAAGATTTCCTCAGGGTTATTTTCTTACTTATACGTATATTAGTTTCTTTTATTTAAAATTTAAAAAAAAAATCAAAATATGTATGGGATCTTGGTTATTTTTTTTTAAATGTTGTCTGATGCAGTATTCAATGGTTCGATTCCTTATTAAGGAGGAATTCAGTGCCTGTTTTGTCGTTGGTCTTTGTAACCTTTGCAGAAAGATATATAATAGATCGTGTTAATCATGTATCTCAACATATGTAACATAATTATGCTTAATTTTCGTGATACATGTACTTGTAAACGAGCCTGAACCATATTTCTATTCCATTGTGAAATAAGCAAAATTACTGAAAATATTGCTAAGAATAAAGATACCAGATACCGGACAAATACGTCATCAATCAATGTATAAAACAAAACTTTAATTGGTACTCTCCTCATTTTCTTTAGTGGAATAAATTCTTTGCCTTCTACATGACAGGTATCTCAAATCGATTGAGAGAGAGAGAGAATTATGGATTGTTAAAATCTTCAAAATGGTCAAATTTAATGTAGCCCGTACCTCAGGTTCTGAAAATTAGCAGTAAAGTACACATGTAATTGAAAATGCTCTCGAAAATTTCAAGAACCAATGTTTTTCCCTAGTAAATCATCCAAATATGAAAAAAGATGAGTCATTCTCTGCGGTGTTTTTTTTCCCTAGTCCAATGGGATATGGGTAGCTCAGTCGGTAGAGCGCTAGCTCCGTGATCGGGAGGTCGTGAGTTCGATTCTCGGCCGTGACAGACCTAAGTCGATAAAAAAAAATGGATAGCAACTGTTCCTTCGCCATGCGCTCGGCACTTTGACCTTCAAAACTGAGGCCCCGTGTCACGGCAGGCGTTGGCACGATAAAGATAACTCACTGCTCAATGGCCCTGAGTGCCGAGTAAAGGTCAAATTTGAAGCCCTTCATCGGTATATGGTGACGTCTCTATATGAGTGAAAAATTCTCCAATGGGACGTAAAACAAAATAAAATCAATCAATCAACCAATGGCATACGTCAAATCACCGGAGGAATGAACATGAATATTGTTAATTTATAAAAATGTTGTCGATATATCTAAATGTCGAATTAAACGCCACAACAAGAGAATTTTTCTTTTCAAGAAGTTTTTGAATAAATTTTGCTTCATAAGAATACAAAAACAGGTCTTCTAATAACGGAATTAAGTAATAATTTTAAGAGTTATTGTTCCTGGCTGAGGAGCGGCCATCTAAGACCTTTTATTTGTACTAAATCTAAAACATTTTTCAGATTCTGTTTCTATTCTACAGGTATAAATTTTGCAAAACAAATTTCATAAAGTTTCTAACTGTGGGAACAACTGTTAATATAGTTTTAAAATATTTACTTTGGTCTTAAAGTTTCGTTATACAAAAGATTTTTTTTCATAAGCATACTAGTATTATCCACGTTCTAACCAATAATTTATTGCTTATGTGAAATAGAACAAATAACACTGACGCTTCTTCTTTCTCAAGTTACTGCTAATCCTGATAAAACATTAAATAAGTTAGAAATTATTCCTTTATTATGCAAATTTTATTTTTTGCCATACATATTTAAAACAAGCAATAACAAAATGAACATGAAAAAAAGACAGTTAAATAATAGAATTTCTATAAAGATCACAGACGAACTATCTTTGGCAGACAACAAAATTATAACAGAAATGTTAGAGTTAATGTTATTCAGATGAAACTTAGGTCTAATCTTATCTGAATGGCACTTAAAATATACAGAAATTTTTCTGTCTTTAATATCTCAGTGCATGTCAAAGAAATAAACAGGGAATATTACAGCTGGTTGTTCATAACGAACTCCATTACACAGATAGAGAGATCTTTCTTACCTATTTTAGTGATATTTTCGTAATTCTGAAAGGGGAAAAAAAATTATCATTAATTTAATATTCTTTGCATGTTCTTTATTTCTAAAACATGCTTATTTCATTTCTATATTTCTAAAATATACTTACTTCATTCAATCAATGTAATTTCAAAAGAGGAAAAAGTACTTTCAAGTGGCTTGCAAAAATGAAGTTCATTCATTGTGAATTCACAAATTTCGATTATTTTTGAAAGATTCAAAATGGAGTATAAAAATGATGTATTGCAACAACATAAAAATGAAAACCCCCAAAAAGAGAGAGAGAGAGAGAAAGTATACATACACCTTGTAAAATTGCACTGCATGATTTGATGAAAAAACAGATACAAAAAATATCTAAAATGCATATGTTCACCCCCTCAAAATACTACCTGATTTTATTGAGCATTTTATGCTATTGCAACATAAATTTTAAAAAAACTTATAAACAATATACTACACCATACTTTCCTCACCTATCATGATTATATAATTTGTGGGTAAAAAATAAACAAAAAAACTTCAGAGGGGGGAAGGGTCAGTTGATGCTGAATGCATTTAGTTCACAGCAGTGAACTGTCTTTTATTTGAATATCTTAATAGTTATTAAATGCTAAATAAAACTTTTACCAAAAAAATCAAATATGGACAATGTCAGTTTTACCTTAGGAAAAAAATTTGTTACATGGTGTTGCAGCACCCATAAGCAAATATGAAAATCACACCTACACACCAGGTGTATGCGTCAATATATATATACATTACAATATTGTTTTCTATATAGACTAGTGGCATTTATTCGTCGACGAAGTTCAAACTTGCCTTCATGGATAAGCTTTTCAAGAAAACGGATCAAAAATAACTTTCAAAACATCAAATAGTGAAAGAATATAATCATAGAAGTTAAATGATTATATAAATTTGTTCTTTACATGCCTTCAGAAAGAAACAGGTGCTTTATGCAAAAAAAAAAAAAATCTTAATGCAAATTATTCAATTTATATGCACATGCACCTATAGGATTTTTGACACCATCTAATATAAAAAATAATCATTTAATGCTTTTTGCAGATAATTATAAAGAAATTTAATTTCTGCCATCAAACTGCGATTTAATACATGTAGTTTTCCAAAAGATAATAAATTCTTAATTTCTTTAAAATTCTTTCACCTAGTGTATGTTCCTTAATGCCCTGTTCACACATGAACATTAAATATTTAATTCACAGTAAATTGATGCAAAGTAAAATAATGCAATAGTGTTCTGTACACATTTTTGGAAATTAACATATTTTTTCTTTTGTTTTTCCAGCAAAAATAGCATAAGTACCTATATTTAACCACCGACATGTGGCTTGTGACTTAATCTAGCTACATGTATTACGCATGCTTCAACATTAAATGTGAATTAGCTTCGCTTAGCGATCACATAGAGCTAATTCAAAGTAATTTGATGAGCAGTAAATTAATTCGAATTAAATTAATTCATGTTAAATTCTCTGTGTGAACACAGTTCAGATTTAATTCACAGTAACTTTTTAACATATTTAATTCGTGTGAACAGGGCATTATTTTATAAGCTTCTACATTTTACAAATTCAAGATTAATTAAAGTATGGAATGCAACAACAAGGTTATCTACATAAAGGACATTAATTAAGATTACAAAATGACATATCAATGCAAAATCAGACACTGTATACAAATGCAATTTGTAGGGATATAAATGCTTTAAAATTTTGATTGTTTTTGTCATTTTCAGGCATAAACATGAAAAACATAAAACAATGTACAGTTCACTGCTTAACAAAGTGGAATGATGATGATATTGTAAATCTTCAAAGATAAAACAAAAATAAGTGTTACAATTGTCATCATATTGCTGAACATGAGCAATAATTTATATATAAATTAATGTACACTGTACATTTAAACGTTTTATACATGTATATCAGATTTCAAATGTTTGAAAGGTTATAGGTTTATAAAGAACAATAGGAAGTGTCCTCTCTTGACATGTGGCAGATTTTTTTTAAATACATGTATCCCCAATCATGTGCCTCTAAAGACAAAAAAAAATCACAGACACCCATTCTGATAACAAAGGGGAATTGTAAATGCATCCTGACAAGTACTGGCACAAGACTATAACCCCTTACACCAAGGCACAATTACATTATTATATCCCCTGAAAACTTAGGTACACTTAGTCACATATTATATCCTCTGACAACCAGAACACATTTAGTCATTAGTATATCCCCTGTAAAACCCAGGTGCACAAAGTCACATTATTGTATTCCCTAACAACCCAGGCACACTTCAGTCACATTTTTATATCCCCTGACAACCAAAGCACAATTAGTCAATTGACAACTGAGGCACACTTTGTCACATGATTATATCCCCTGACAACTGAATCCTATGACATCTTGGGTATATTTACATGTATAGTCACATTACTATACAGGTGTATTCAATTTCATCACATATTTGTCCTTTATATATTATAGAAACATGGTGAAATATAACTTATAAAACAATGTTATAGATTGAGAAAGGAAAACGGAGAAACAGAGAATGAAAAAAAATATTGTTCTGATTGGGAAAGTAAATAATGTGACAAAGTTAATGATTTAAATGTATCATCAAAGTACAAATACGGTAAACAAAATGAGCTGTACATGTCTTAAATTTCATGCTTCATGGCCAGAGTAATACTTGTTTCACTGAATATCAACATATCCTAAATAAAACTCCATAAAAAAATGATTTGTCTTAGCAAAATTAAATAAATCCACAAATAAATAGCATAAATAAAAGAAACAAAGCTCGACTTTCAAACAAAAATTTTTTAGGATACAACATATTGCACAATCTTTTCAAAGGGATTAGACATGAATCTTATAAAATTCACATTTAGTTTAAACATAATTAATTGGTCTTCTTTTAAATCAGTTGTTTTGTAAAATGTTTCCGTTAATAGCATTTTCAAATCTGGAAATATATAATTCCTAATCTTTCTATTTACAACAATATTGATTGGCATAGGAGTAAATTAATGCATAATTACATCATATGCAGATGTATTTATAATCCAAAGAAATGTCAAATATGACATATGCAGCCACAGATGAATTCAGGTACAATATCATTTGGTTGCTAATATCTACAGGGACTGTTGTTTACATGGCAATGAGTATTTGAGATCATGTTTGTTTTTCTTTCCATATCACTTAAGTGCATAAAATGATTTTGCTAATATAACATAGGCAGAGTTTACTATTCTAATGTGTTTATGTTTCAGACAATTTTCAACACGATAATCCCAACAAACAAAAAAACTTTATATCACTCCTTTTTTCTGAATAAATCAACATAAAATGAACATGACAATTTATGAACATTATAAAGGAGATGGGTGAACAAGGCATGCAAAATGCCAATAGCTTCAAAGGTATAAAAGTTGTACATGTTTTCAATTTGTGAATTTAGAATTAAAACTTTTTATCATTGAAAGGTATGAAATTATGACAAACAAAACTTTTTTCTGCAGAAATATTTTTCTGAAAAAATCATTGTATGATTTTAAAAAAAAGGGTAGTATTCTTGGGGTTTGAACCCAAGAAATAAAAATCCTGAGTAACAATTTTACTATGGAGACTAACATGTGAACTACTACGCTATAACACTCATAACAAAAACTGGCATTTAAATCATGTTTGTGATATGACCTTTGACCAAACGGACTTCAAATATTTCTTGGAAAGAAACAAATGTTGTGCCTATACAGTGTATTTTTAAGGTATAGTGGGTTTTTGTTCAACGTTTTTGTTAACCCAAGAATGGTTTGTTTTTTTTTTTTGCATAATTTGAGTACATACAATCTTTCAAAAAAATGGAGTGAAGACTGACTCGTATGGAAAAATGTGTTTTAGTATGCAGAATTGATCATTTTTGCCCTCTTTGATGTATGTCTTCTATTTGGTAGTTAATTTCTTTTTTTCTGAATTTTTTGCGATGTTTGGTAATGTAAAATGAAATATGAAAGAAATTTTGTCATAATTGAGATTTAATTTTTCTTTTTCATATTTGATGCACAATAGGCATTTTGCTCACCTTGTGTGCCCATCTTCTTTAAGATAAAATTGAACCCATGATAAACTATAGTTGACATAAATCTATAGGTATAGGGGTTGAAATTACTGCTAATTACAAGCTGTGCTGAAACATTTTTAGATTTAGGGGGTCAAGATTGAGGATGAAAAACAAGGAAAATACACAGGATGTCCTGTGCTTTATGTGCTCTTTAGTATATAAACATTTTTTTAGCACCTAATAACGATTTGTGAAAATACTGCCCCCTTCCCCCATTTCTATTGTTCTGCACAATTCTGTAAAATACGGTCATTCAGTACACTAGTACATGTATTATAATTGTTCAAGTGAGCCATTTAGTAATCAGTTATTGATCACTCATTCATCTACTGGATGTGAATTTAAAAAAAAGTCTATATGAATTACATGAACAAATCACCAAATTTTCATCAACTCAAGTCTAAGGGTTTCTGCCAATGAATTTTTGCATACTTCATTCTGCCATTTACATGGAAAAAAAAAATTTGTGGTTTATCACAGAATGGAATTTCCTCTACCCACTCCATGACTAAATCTGTTATCCAGTGACAATATATGCACACACAATTAACAGTCAATCCTGTCCATTTGATAACTTTTCATTTTCATTGGCTATTTCTGACTCCTCATCTGTTTCATAATCCTTACCCTGAAATAAATTTAAAAAAAATTAATATCATAAACTTAGATAAAAGTGGAATTATGATATTGATTTGTTTAAAGGTTATTTGGTACCTATGCAGAAGCTTCAGACAAAATTGGTCCTTTAAATCTTTCTAATTGTGTAGTGTTATCTAATTTTCAAACATTATGTCTAATATAAACAAGACAACTATTTTGAGAATTCATGATTGAAAAGGATATATTGACAGGATATTGAACATGGGTTCTAAGATCTACATATTGAACCTAGACCTCAAAGAGTAACCAGAATCATCTAGATTTTCATTAGGAAGCTCATGGACCTTTATGGTCCACCTGAGTATAAAAAAACATTACACCTGTTCAAGTTCCTTATGCTATCAGGAATAGTTGGATCACGAGTCAAACTTAGCCTAACCTGGGACACAAAACCCTGCATAGGAGTAATGATTTTTTTTTTCAGCTTTGGTAAAGATCTCATTGCTCATTATATTTAAGCATATAGTTTGCTTGTTAGATATCCAACAATGCTTTTGGTCATTGGATGATACATGAAAAAAGACAAATACTGATAGCAACTCCTCACCTGAGTGACCTAGAAAAATGTTATTTATATCAACCAGATTTCAAAATAAATTTCAATTATGAACTTAAACAAGATCTTTTCCATCAATATCAAATATATAAAATAATTATCACATTAATGAATCAATAACTAAAAGACAATTCTCTTCAATAACATGTTATCAATATACAGATAATGATTTTTAGAAATGCCTGCAGTCTTGACAATGATTGGTTTGGCCAAGACACTTTCCTTTAAAACTTAATCTTTACAGTAATGAGACAGATGGGGTCATTAACACTAAAAACAATGTATTTACATATTCCTCAGTAGTTTTTCTTCTCAAGCCTTACACAACAGAAGTCTCTGATGAGACTGACTCTAAAATGGTTTACACTTGAAAGTAAAATGGTGCATTAATTTGTGTTTATACCAGTTCCTTTTTGAAATTTCAGTGAAAAGTAAAAATACTCTTCACTGAAAGCAGTAAAGACAAGCAGCAGAAACAGACAATATACTGCCACTGTAATAAATAAGGTACACTGCTATGGTATATGATATGGTCATCTGGAACTACATGCTGCATATCTGTTTATGCATAAAAAATGTCACAAGCTATGACCCTGTTAATTGCAAATACAATGTACATTAGAATAAAGATACTGTAACATAGTTTAAGTTATTTACCATAGCTGTATAATGCCAAAAGGCAGTCAAGTGACCTATTTTGGGATCACAACACCCCTTCCCAAACAGAGACATCAACTGACAGGGTTTGATGATTCTAGGCTTCAGAGTGTGAGATTCCTATGGAATTCAAAAATGAAGTCACAGCCACCTGCTTTTGTTTGGGTTGTGAAACACTTTCTTCCCAAGATACATCACCTAACCAGGCTCAAAGTGTGCAAGATGTGATTAAAACACAACTTGACTACCTATATATAGCCATAAAATTCAACCACAAATCTCTGATGAGACTGTAGCTCTACTGGTCTGTAAGTATAACAAAGGAAAGGTAGCACTTAGATTTGAAACTTTGCAGCATGCAGCAATAAATAGAATTATGTATCTTAATGTAGTCTACTTTAGTGCCAAGTTATATTGAAATCCAAAGAAAACTGTAGGAGGAGTAGCGTTTTGAAAGTATTTCACAGAAATTTCTATTTTTAGTAACCATGGCAACACCATTTACTGAAATCAAAAACTGATATATACTATTATGAATCATAGTGTAGTCTAATTGTGTGCCAAATTAGACTGAAATCAGACCAAAACTGTAGGAGGAGTAATGTTTAAAGGAATTTTACAGAAATTTCTATTTTTAGTAACAATGACAAAACCATTCATCAAAATCAAAAACCAATTCATCAAATTATGTATCTTAGTGCAGTCTACTTGTGTGCCAAGTTATATTAAAATCAGACTAAAACTATAGGAGGAATTGTGTTTTAAATGAATTTCACAGAAATTTCTATTTTTAGTAACCATGGCAACAACTTTCATCGAAAATAAAAACCGATGCACTGAATTATGTATCTTAGTATAGTCTACTTTTTTGCCAAGCTATATTCACAGGATGAACTTACACAATTCAGTCAACTGAATGGTGACTGATAGGTATGGATATGTCACTGAATGGCAGAGATCTGCTTTTCAGTTACCTTTCAGTAAACTCTCAGTCACCTTTCGGTTAGCTGAATGGCAGAGTTTCACCCTGTGATTGAAATCAAAAATTGAGACCAAAACTGTAGGAGGAGTAGCATTTTAAAGGAATTTCACAGAAATTTCTATTTTTAGTAACCATGGCAGCACCATTCACTGAAATCAAAAAACGATGAACTAAATTATGTATCTTGTCTGCCAAGTTATATTGAAATCAGACCAAAACTGTAGGAGGAGTAGCGTTTTAAATGAATTTCACAGAAATTTCTATTTTTAGTAACCATGCCAACACCCTTCATCGAAATAAAAAAATGATGCATGAAATTATGTATCTTACGCAGGTATGTTAAGGCTGCAAGCAGATATCCTACTTGCCTATACAGTATGACGTCATAGTCAGCTGTATGACGTGAAATTTAGAGTTAGTGTTTTCTTAATATCTATATTTAAAGATTAATTTCAGGTCCAAGAAGTAAATAGATTCATTCAAAAATATAATATAAACTAAATCTTGTCTTTCTTGAAGTGGTATAAATAGCTTAGTATTTATCACGGGGTAAAATACAAAACTCATGACGTCATAACTATTGATCAAATATTTGCCGAGTGAAAATTAAACATGACGAGAATTCATGTCTACAAATATATAACCAGAAGTCTCTGACGAGACTGTAGCTCTACTGGTTGTACTTATAAAAGAAGATAAAAGTAGCACTTGGACTTGAAACTTTGCAACTGCAATAAATAGAATAATGATCCTTCAAGTTGGTTTAGTCTCTTTTTGTGGCAAGATTTATTGCAATCAGACTAAAACTGTTGGAGGAGTAGCCTTTTAAAAAATTTTACAGAAATTTCGATTTAAGTAACTATGGCAACATCATTCAACAAAATCAAAAAACAATAATAACAATTATGTATCTCAGTATAGTCTACCGGTATGCCAAGTTATACTGAAATCAGACAAAAAGTGCAGGAGGAGTAGCGTTTTGAAAGTATTTCAAGAAATTTCTATTTTTAGTAACCATGGCAACACTGTTCATCAAAATCCAAACTGGTATAGAGAATTATATATCTTAGTGTAGTCTACTTGTGTGCCAAGTTATACTTAAATCAGACAAAAAGTGTAGGAGGAGTAGTGTTTTGAAAGTATTTCAAGGAAATTTCTATTTTTATTAACCATGGCAACACCGTTCATCAAAATCAGAAACGAGATAAAAAGAATTATGAATCTTAGTATAGTCTACTTGTGTGCCAAGTTATATTGAAATCAGATCAAAACTATAGGAGGAGTAGCGTTTTGAAAGTTTTTCACAGAAATTTCTATTTTTAGTAACCATGGCAACAACGTTCATTGAAATCAAAAACCGATATACAGAATTATGTATCTTAGTGTAGTCTACTTGTGTGCCAAGTTATACTGATATCAGACCAAAACTGTAAGAGGAGTAGTGTTTTGAAAGTATTTCCAAGAAATTTCTATTTTTAGTAACCATGGCAACACCGTTCATTGAAATCAAAAACCGATACACAGAATTATGTATCTTAGTTTAGTCTACTTATGTGCCAAGTTATATTGAAATCAGACCAAAACTGTAGGAGGAGTAGCTTTTTGAAAAATTCTTTACAGACGAACGGACAGACAGACAGCTAGTCAGACAGACAAGGGACACCTTACTATCGCATAAGCTCGTCTGGTCTCTGACCAATAGAGCTAAAGAGGGAGTTTTAAAGCATATACAGTAAATGTTTTGTGTGATTCATGAGGATTTAAATATTAAGAATCAGGTACGCTGATTTATGCTTATCATGTTTTCTTATAATGAACACAGGCAGTGTTTTGAAATCCCGATCAGCCTTTCCTCTGTCGTTCCAACAAAAAAGATATGCAAAAGTTCAACAATACGCCGCACACTTTGAAACATGATTTTTGTTTGTATCGAAAGCTTGTATTCTAAGTAGGATTCTAGCAGCACTTTTCATGACCCGGTGATGTTTTTACATTATTATTTTCACAAAAAGAAATAAATTATCCCCGGAGTAGTGTTGAACTTTTTACTTTTTCGTTAAGGCAATTTTTCTATTTATAGATGTCACGTGATGACGTCGTAGTGGAGTGCTTCTTTCAGCCTAAGATTCAATGACGTCTATACAAAGGATAATATTAGTAAAATTAATGTTTTATCTATGGCTTTTCCGATTTATGAATGTTACATTTTACGAAAATAGTCTAAATTCGCCGAAAATTATCTGGGTACTGCCTGAATATACCTGCGTAGTGTAGTCTGCTTTTGTGCCAAGTTATATTGAAATCAGACCAAAACTGTAGGAGGAGTAGTGTTTTGAATAATTGTTTACAGAGAGAGGGACAGCTAGACGGACGGACGACGGACACCTTACTATCGCATAAGCTCTTCTGGTCTCTGACCAGTAGAGCTAAGAATGAGGTCATCATAACCTACTTTTTGGGTTGCACCCCCCCCCCACCCCCCCCGACATGAAAAAATTTGCAAGTGGACAGATATATCAATGGACAAGTCTATATCATCATAAGACCCACTAAAAGACAAGGTGAACAAAAAAAAAACTTTGAAAAAAGGAAAACTTGTGTCAAACTATAGTTTGTAAGTAGATGTTTTCCTCAAATCAGATAAAAATTGTCAATAAGTAGCACTTTGACATTATTTAATAGATGATTCTGGTTACCATGGAAACATTGTTTCTTAAGACTTATAAATTGGGTGAATCTTCATGTGGAATAAAAAAAACTCTCAACCATGGACAAACCTGCTCAATTTTTTCATCCAACATTCTGAAGAAGTCTAGCTGACTATTCGTTACCCTGCAAAAAAAGTGCATTGAGAATTATTCCCTTCCTCAGGAAAACTCAAAATCTGCTGCATTTTATCAGTTTTATGAAATGTATTTCAAGTAGAAGACACTCTCATTCTTTTTCAGCTTCTGAACAAATCTTCTGACAACAAACAATCATATTCTTCTTTAAGGCCTCTGTCCGACCATTTAAAAGGTTTGAACCCTGACTTCATATTTATATGTATAACAAGATATGAAAATAGCATTAAGAGCTACATGTTACTGTAACCTGAACTTTTCATCCATGTATTATGTCAACGAAAGTCATCATATAAAGAAAATTATTATACCTCTATTAAGAATACTCAAATTTGATTGGCTGGTAAGAAGGCTTTTAAACTCAATAATGACTCCAAAAAGTACCGTTTACAGCAATAATGACCTAGGAATCATTGCACGTGGGGTATAATGACCGGTCAATAAAATTAATGACCGCTAAAAATGACCTGTTAATCCAAATTCCATTCAAATTAAAAAAAATATGCATACAGTAATGATTGTACATTACAAAAATTGCCGTTATAAAAATATGTATAGTATTTTTAGGATACGGAACACGATTGGCCTTTAGATGCGTCATAACATTTATCGTTTTCATTGAAATTAACTTTCGTTACAATACAATGTCAAATTCAACGAACGCAGACTCGGCTCTCTTGTACAGTAAAAGTCTGCACCAGATTGTCATTGTAGTCAGGGATGGTATCTGTGAATTTATAAAAATGCAATGTTACTGACAATCACAGAGTGTTTTAATAAATCGGCGGTGCAAAAACTTACAAGACTGGCAGCCGAAAAGTAAACAACTTCACTGGCGAATCCCGATCCCGATGGAACACTGATAACAGTTCGTAGGTCTTATACATGTAATTGATTATTTTAGTAATTAAACTTACAAAAATTGCCTTAACTTATATCGGTATAAAAAAACAATTGATTACCCCTTATGAGTTCAACATGGTGAAATAAGGACCCTCGACCTGGCCCACTTGCTGACCTGACCTGACCTCGGCCGCTGGCCTCGGTCAGGTCAGGTCACCTCGTGGGCCAGGTCTCGGGTCCTTATTTTAGCATGTTGACCTCATAAGGGGTAATTAATTGTATAATGTACTCTATACATCAGCTTGAATCTGCATTTATAAAAAATATATGAAAAATATAAAAATAAAAATATATTATTTATTTACATACCTGACTTTTGGTTGAGTTATATTTGGCACACCATTATCAAGTTTGGATTTCTTAGCATCCTGTTAAAATTAAAAAAAAAAGTAAAATATTTCATTATTATACTGATTTCACTCAATGATATTGGGTCATATATAGTAGCTATATATACTACATAGCCATATAAAGTTGTAGATTTTTTTTAAAAATTCAATACAGTGTATTTGTTCTTTAAAGCATCATTTATTTATAAATGGCTGTCCTACAGTAGCTTTAGCTGCTTATAAAATCTAATTCAGCTTCTTATCAATTGCCATCAAGGTGTCAAATAAAAATTTCATCTAAAAATATCATCAATTACCAGCAGCTTACTTTTGTTAGTTTCTCTTACAAATGTCATCAGGTTATATGATTTGCAGTCATAAATAAATCATTGAATTGGATTAAAATGAGTAATTTTTCACTGAAACTGGTGAACCAATTAACAATTTTGACTGACAACTTCCATGAAATTAACAAGAGATACCAATCTCACCTACTGTCATCTGCCATTACAATATATAATAATAAATTGATCTGTTGCTAAAGTCACTTTCCAACTCATGATTAGTTATCTTTCAGTCAATAACAAGTTAATTAATTAACTGTTTTTAATAACAATCACCTACCAGTATAAATAATAACAGTTAACATTTTTACAAATAATCACTGTTCAGTAGTTGATAGCAGTTACATGTAATACCTGTTTCACCTTCATACCTGAGAGCGATATAGAATTCTTTCATAGAGCAAAACATTTTGTTGACCTACCAGTCCCTGTGTCACCTTCTGGACTCCATTAGAGGACAGCGCTCCTGAACTCTTTTGTGGCAGTTTGAACATTCCAGAATCTTTCCGTTTGTTGGGAGCTGGCTTTGAGGAGTCATTGTTCTCCTTGGTGTCACCTACAAATATATGTCATTTTGAATTTTGTAGCACAGACAAAAAATACTAGCTATAACATTTAATTATGTCACACAGTGAACCATACAGGTAATCATAATTAATCTGTGTCTATAGATGAAAATGATGGCCAGTAGAACACTCCATATTAATTCCATCACCAAAATAAGTTCTTCTGCTTAATAAAGAGGAACAGAATATTCCCATCAACTTACTGTAGGCAAGATCAGTTCTAAAACTAAGTCCTACATGTGTATCTATCGCACAAGTGAACATATTATTATTAATGAATCCCTGGGTTGCACACATATCATTTTTAATGAACCTACCCACGTTATTTCCTGGGTTGCACACATATCATTATTAATAAACCAAGGACCCAAGATGCATCAACTGACAAAGTTTGATGATTTTAAGCCAATTAGTATCTGAAATATTCAAAACAAGACGTGTTTGTGAAACACTGATGCCCCGTATGGCAACTTATAGCTAAGGTTAAACTTTCTCAAATGCAAATCAAATATGTTGGTACCCAAATTAAGGTCTTGTACTGAGGAATATACCTGTAAAATATGAAAGCTCTAGCAGCAACCATTGAAAAGATATGAAATAGGTTAAAGTTTTTCAAAAGTAAGTCAAACATCAAGGTCAAAATTAATGATGCCAAGGAAAGACCTTCTCACAAGAAATACACATGTGAAATATGAAAGCCCTAGCACCAACCGTTTAAAAGATATGGCCAAGGTTAAAGTTTTTCAAAAGTAGGTCAAACTCCAAAGTCACGGTCAAAGGGGAAAAGTTGTTGGTATCCTAAGTAAGGTCTTGATACAAGGATTGCATATGTTAAGTATTAAAGCCCTAGAACCAACTGTTCAAAAGAAATGTCTAAGGTTAAAGTTTTTCAAGAGTAGGTCAAACTCCAAGGTCAAGGTCAATGGGCTACAATTGTTGGTATCTAAAGGAAGGACTTGTCACAAGGATTACACATGTGAAGAATGAAAGCCCTAGCACCAACTGTTCAAAAGTTATGGTCAAAGTTAAAGTTTTCCAAAAGTAGGTCAAACTCCAAGGTCAAAAGGTCAAAGTTGTTGGAATCCAAAGGAAGATTACATATGTGAAGAATGAAAGCCCTAGCACCAACCGTTCAAAAGTTATGACCAATGTTAAAGTTTTTAAAAAGTAGGTCAAACTCCAAGGTCAAAAGGTCAAAGTTGTTGGTATCCAAAGGAAGGTCTTGTCACAAGAATTACACATGTGAAGTATGAAAGTCTTAGATCCAACCGTTCAAATGTCATAGCCAATGTTAAAGTCGAGAAAAAAAATGTAAAACTGGGTCAAACTCCAAGGTCAAGGTCAAATATGAAGGTACTCAAAGAAAGGTCTTGTCACAAGGGATACACATGTGAAATATGAAAGCTCCAACCAATCAAAAGTTATGGCCAATGTTAAAGTTTTTGCGGACAAACAGACAGACGGACAGGGCAAAAACTATATACCCCCGAATCTTTGATACGGGGGCATGAAAATATACATGGTTCTTGAGAAGAAGATATTTTAGCAACCAGTACCTTTGTTTTTATTTCCCTAATTATCCCTCCTTGTTTATGGGGTCAAACCCTTATTCTTAGTATAAATGAAAGCCCCTGGGCAAGGATACCCTGTGACAAATTTGACAAAAATAGACCAAGGGATTCTTGAGATATAGTTCATATTCCAAAAAGTTTATGCACACCGCACAAATGGCCATAGCATTAGCTTTTTGAGCCTTTGGCTCAGAAGAGGTAAATTTAACCTACCCACTTTATTTCCTGGGTTGCACACATATCATTAATTAACTTACCCACTTTATTTCCTGGGTTGCACACATATCATTAATTAACTTACCCACTTTATTTCCTGGGTTGCACACATATCATTAATTAACTTACCCACTTTATTTCCTGGGTTGCACACATATCATTAATTAACTTACCCACTTTATTTCCTGGGTTGCACACATATCATTAATTAACTTACCCACTTTATTTCCTGGGTTGCACACATATCATTAATTAACTTACCCACTTTATTTCCTGGGTTGCACACACACTTGTCATTCTTACTGAGGGACTTCTTGTGCTTGCTCTTTTTGTAGGACTCAGACTCGGTCTCGTCACTGGACTCGTGGTGTAAGTGCGGTTTACTTCTACCACATCCCATTTGAAGACACATGGGGAGCAGTCATTGGTGAAGCTTGCACTGACCTTTAACAAACAGTCATGTCTCCACAACTGATCCTGATCAACTCACAATTCCTGTCAGGAGAAAAAAAATATAGATACACAGCTACTCACTAGGCTTTTTATTTCTGTACACTGTAGGTCTAAGTCTTATCAACATTAAAAATTCTCTGAAATCTGACCTATACTATATATATATATATATATATATATATATATATATATATATATATATATATATATATATATATACAATATGTGTTAATTAATGTACATTTATAAACATAAAAGTGTCTCACCTAGCCAGCTTTAATACCAATGGCATGATGATAAATCTAACATTATACGTAATTATCTAAACAATTATTTACATATTTCATAATATTTGAAATTAAAATATCATGTACTTAACATTGTATTTCACAGGCCACATCTCCTCTGTGATAATTTGACTGTCACCAAGGGAAAAAAAGTCTATATAGCACAGCTAACAGATTTTCCAAGATAACTTTGAAGTATAACTTTCACTGATGTAAAATTAAATAGTTTACCCATGAACATATGAAATTTCTGTCTCTTCACATGCTCTAGACTAGAAAATTCTTATCAAGCCTGACTTAATAATTCCTATATTTACCAATTCATTGTCAAAGTACAGAATGTATAGCTGGAGGTTGAACTAATTAACACAAACATTAATTTTCAAGAAAAAAATTTATGAAGTAGTATCAAAGTAATTTTGCTCTTTTAGTAAATAAAGTACATAGTTAACATTAGTTCAAAATGAACTACAAAACAATGCTATATTATAATGAGTATCTTGTCATAACTTACATGTACTTGTATTTACTTCATAAGTGGTTTGGGATTCAAAATAACTTTTTAATTAATGTATATTCAAGAGACTTAAACATACATGTAAAGTCTTCAATCCCTCTAATCAGCAACAAACTTGTCCAACCATTGCTTAATGATTGTTCCTTTTCTCTCCAAACCTTGGCTTACAAAGATTTACTGTGAGTGGCCAATGTGGTAATATAACCTTGTACCATAGGACTGGCGGTAAATTTAGATTTTGCTTTGATGTTGCTTGTGGTGTATTTGCCAGAAGAATCACAGTTTTTTTTAAGTCATGCCCACCTTTTGGCATCAAGCCATACTGTGACAAGACCTTGACTGATGAATGAATGATGTCAGTTTCAAGACCTGGCTGATGAATGAATTAAGTCAACATTTTTAATTTCAAAAATACTAACATTAGCTTGTCGATGTTAGCTTCATAAATGTTTCTGTATGTTTTCTCCGCGTAGCCTTAATCAGTAAATGATACGTCCTATCTCGAGTTCTCGTCATTCTCTTTCCCGTCTCCAAATACAAATAGCAATTTCACATCAGAAGTCCCCGCGTTTTTTTTTTTACTTCCAATACCATTTCAAACTTTCATTAAAATGTCAAAAATCATTTCATTTTTTTTCTGTACGCTGATTGCCATATAGAAAAAGTTAAATGGCGATGTTTCCCATACCCCCCCCCCCTTTTTTTTTAAAAAAAAAAAACGATCTAGAAAGATAAATTTTCTTTCAGACTTCACGACTTGAATATAAAAGCCTACAATCGCTACCCCCTGTACCTGTTCCTGACAAAGATCATGTTTTCTGCGTCTTCAACATTCCAGAGGTACAATATCTTCACAGGTACCAATTCCGAATCTTTTATCAACAAATTAGGTAGCAGTGACACAGCTAAATACGATCCTTGCAGATGGAGACAGCTTATATATACGGACCGGGGCTTGACACCTCATAGTAGGCGGTGCTAATTATCAACTTGCTTTTCTCTCATTGGTCCTCTGGTACAAGTAACTTACACAATAGATATTAATTGGTTAGCGGTAAATACACTCACAGTTTTTATTCACTCGGGGCTCCGCCCCTCGTGAATGAAAAACTGTGAGTGTATTTACCGCTAACCAATTAATATCTATAGTGTAACTATAACATAAATAGGTCTAAATAAAGATTGCAGTTTCATATACGTAACTGCCCATTAACATGAAAGCTGAAAACCCTTTTTACTTAGAATTTTTACACCATGTACAAAAATCCTTTTTACCCATTTTCTATGAATGTACAAAGTGAAAACAAAAGATTATGTAGTGTTTAATTTCCTCAGCGGATGCTTTACATTGTATTATGAATGTCACGGTACACTTCAGAGTACTAGTATTTTAATTTGCCCACACATAACCATTCAAAATCATTATGCACAGTTCATGTATGAAAGTCTAGGGAGATTGAACACAAGTTCAACCCTCAAAAACTGGTCATTCAGGCAAGTGCAATTTTCAACAGCCCTGACTTTACTATACAACAGTAATCAATATGTAGTAACTCTTATCAAGTCAGTACAGTCAAAATATACAAATTACTCATCTTACTTATGTACATGTTTTCTCTTTAGAAAAGTGGACAGGCTTTCGCCTACATATACATGTAGGAGAAAACTCGTCCACTTCTCTAAAGAGAATAGATATATGTACATGAATTAAATCTAAACACATTTTTATTAACTTAATCCATATTACTCAATGGACACAAAACATAATGCAAGTCTGATATCACCTATAAAGATGTACCACTTCTATGATAGAACTTTCTGTTTTATGGTAAATTCACAACACAATAACCATCAAGACCAAGACCCTATGCAATATTTATAACAGAGATTCCACTCAAAAGCTGTACTATCATATTGATTCTGCAGTTATTCAGACAAGCAACACAAAGATGACTCCACATAATCTAATATTCCTTTGCGGAACACAAATTATAGTCTATGTTATATGCTGAATAGACATATCAAAACTCATTTTTGACAATAATAATTATATTCTGCTCAATAACAGTGAAGCCATTCTCTGGCATTAATGAACCTTAATCATAACAATCATCATTACAGATGACCTTTAGCTTTTTTTTTGGTTTTTTTTTTTTCCTTATTTCAACAATGAAAAAAGCTTAATCTTAAGAACATTCATAATTAAAATGCCCCAAAAAATTCTGCATTTCATTGAAAAAGGATGACTATGTATATAGAGGGTTATAGAGATCACTACAGTAAAACTCACTATAGTGAAGTTTTGGAGACCTGTGAATTTAATTTGCTATATCCATAATTCATTACATGGCATTCAACTCGACATTTAGATATATTGACCACATATTTTCAATTAACAGTAGTTAACATTCCATTCATATGTTGACTCATTATATCCCAGTGAACTTAAATAAAACACACCACTGAGTCTGTCACTTCTGTTTCATTCTTGGATATTTTACTAGAAAAAGATGTTGATGGTAACCTAACAACAAAACTTTATGATAAATCTGATGACTTCAATTTTTCTATTGTCAACTTCCTTTACTTTTGCAGCAAATTAATATACCCTTGTCTCCTACATATGGGGTTTATATCTTCCAGTTGATTCAATACACAAAAGCATGCTCCACATATGAACAGTTTCTAAAACAAGGCAAGCTGCTAACAAATAAGTTGATGAAACAAGGATTTCAACAGTGGCATTTAAAGTCAGCACTTTGCAAGTTCTACGGTCAATACAATGACCTTGTCAGCAAATACAATCTATCATTAAAATGAATGCTGACTGACATTTTTCATACTAATTGTTAATTAGGCCATAATTGTTTTAACTCTGAATTGTCCACAGATTTTTCAGTTTGCCCGATCATGACAATGAGCACTCATGGGTGTGACCAGTCAACAGGGGATGCTTACTCCTCCATGGCACATGATCCCACCTCTGATGTTTTTTAGAGGTCTGTGTTTGCTCTGCTCCCAATTTGTATTGTTTCAAAGGACTTTTGGGCTTGATTATTGTTCGTTACCTCCATATTTCTTCCAAATAATGAATTCCTTAAAGTATACACAGTGAATTTGCAATATAGAATATTTCATTAAAGTATAACTACCAAATGGTTTTAGAGAAGTTTTTGGATGAATTGTGTTTCAAATATAAATACTTACGAAATCTGCAATGTCAGTTCAATATCTTGAAAATTTAGATCTTGAAAATTTGCTATAAAAGGTATAAATTTCGTTACTTTTAACTTCTAGGAGACACAGAATCAGTTAGCTATTACCATAAATTTACTACATCCGAGTTTATTATATCCATAAAATTTTACAAAGAATTTCTTAAGAATTTCTCCGGAATTGCAAAAAAAATTTTGCTGTATCCTTAAATTTGCTATATCCCTGTTCATACTGAACAAGTTTTACTGGATCATAATCTATTATACAAGTTTAAGCTAGATATATAACCATAAAAAACTACGGAGAAGAATTTACTTGATTTCTTAATAGTAACAAATCTAAATAAAATTTGGTCCTTATATGGTAAATCAACACTCTGATAGGATATCCCTCATACTGGTAACCCCCCCCCCACTTTGTCTCATCCAGTGTCCATTCCAAGTCAAGCAGAATGATGATAGAGACAGTACTGTGTATAAATTAAAACACCTTTTCAAAAAGTCACAACAAATATCTAAAGACCTGCTGGCAGCTAGATCTGAACCCAACTTTTCCATTACCAGACTAATCCATTAGAACCTGAGCTTTGTGCTCTATCTTATGTTTGATTTTGTCAATATAGCACGAAGAACTAATGTTGGTTTACAGACATTGATGATCAGGCTGAATTCATGCCTTATTGTCTTGAATTCATTGTGTGACAAAGGAATTGTCATGCTGAAGATGAGTGTACTTATAATTTTCTTAGATAATCAAGTACACCCTTCTTTTACATCATATGTAACTATCTAACTACAAATGTAATTCTTGCATTTTCTCCATATTATGACCTGATTTAGGACTAAATTTATGTGAGTTTGGTAACTTCAGACTTTGAAAGTAGTTGGAAAATGATCCATCAAATGAAATCTCAGTTTTTTTCAACAATAACTAAAAATTCCTTTAAACTTTGCAAACCCTGCTGATTGAAATACCTAATTGTCACAAAGGCAAGTAAATTCTCCCATTTATAGTTATATATC